CCCCCCGGCTCGGGGGCCCGTCCTCCCCTCCCCCCGCTCCCCCGCGCAGCGCAGCGCCCTCCTCTGCCCTTGTGCTAGAAAGACCCCAATAAATGTCACATCCCGCTGGAGCTGGTGGGAGGGAGAGACCGCAGAGTCCGAGGGTTCCCAGCACAGCTGGCAGCTGCCATGCCTGGGGAGGCGGGAGAGGTCCCAGGGGGGTTGGTGGAGGAGGCGACGAGGAAGGGGAGGTGAGGGAGGGGCGGGTGGAGAAGTGTGGTCCCCAGGCTGGTAACAGCAGGTGGCGCAGACCGTCTGGGGCTGCGGTGGGGTTGGAAGCACGTCCAGGCCAGAGCTGCGCCTCCCGGGCGGGCTGTGGGGACAGCAGTTGCTAGTCACCTGCCTCGGTTCGCGCCCTCACCTTTGTCATCACCCCTCACGAGTTCTCAGAAATGAGGTCCCCTTCCCTTGGCGGGGGAAGAGGCCAGTGTCAGCAGAACACAGTGGGAAGAGGGGCGCCCAGGTCGGAGCGTGGCGTCCTTCAGCCTGCGCTGAAGACCAGGAGGGAAGCTCCCCCCGACCGTCGCCGGGCCCCGGAATTGCCACTTAGCACACAGCCCGGTGACCAGCGAGGGAAGCCGGGCTGGGCTTCAGGACACCTGGCTGTGCTGTGTGACCTCGGGCAGTCTGCGCCCCTCTCTGGGCGTCCCTTTGCACACAGGGCAGAGGCAGGTTGTGGCACCGCAGCCGTCGGGTCTGCTCCGGGAACCTGGGGCAGCCTTCAGTGGCGCCGCGTCTGCCTCCCCGGCGGGGCTCACCGGGTGGAGGGGCTCTCGGGCTGGTTCACACAAAGCCTTGACTAGGCAGCCCTGCAGAGGCGCTGAGGCTGGTGCCGGGAGGGGGGACTGAACAGCTGTGTCCTTAGCAAGCCGCAGCCTCCTGGCCAAGACAAAAAAGGCTCATTTTGGCACATCCCAGGAGCAGCCAGGTTACTGACAGGACCTGTGTTTGTTCTCGAAGTCTTCGCTTTTGCAAAACTCTTCAGTGACAATGACAGGGAGAACAGCCACGACCTAGGGGCTTGGGCGAGCCGGTCCACAGTGCCGGTCCTTGTCTCCTGGAGCTCGCCCTCACTGTGGCTCTCCCGGTCCACAGGGCCGGCCGGGCCTTCGTCTCCTGGAGCTCGCCCTCACTGTGGCTCTCCCCGTCCACAGTGCCGGTCCTTGTCTCCCGGAGCTCGCCCTCGCTGTGGCTCTCCCCATCCACAGTGCCGGTCCTTGTCTCCTGGAGCTCGCCCTCACTGTGGCTCTCCCCGTCCACAGTGCCGGTCCTTGTCTCCCGGAGCTCGCCCTCGCTGTGGCTCTCCCCGTCCACAGTGCCGGGCCCTTGTCTCCTGGAGCTCGCCCTCACCTGTGACTTCTCGGGGAACTCGTCTCTGGGCTCCAGGGGCTTCTACTCAGCCATACTGTCCTGGCCTTAGCACACACATGGCTTTGCTCAGGTCCCTGTGTGCAGTGGGAACTGTCTTAGCTGGAGCTGGAGGATCCTACCATTTCTGGGGTACAGAGGAGCAGGGAGGATAATGCGGAAGTCATAGTCAGCAGCGGGGCCCTGGACAGCCTCTGGAGGAGCAGAAGCTGAGGACAGCTGGGTTTTCCCTCTGGACTCACACTGCAGTGAGGCGGGGGCAGAAGATCCGACAGAAATGGCTTCTCCAGCACTTGGGTCAGATGCTGGGGCCCAAGAGGGTCTGCTTTAGGACACCTTGACCGTACCTCCTAATATGAAATACAAAGAACCCCTCCTCTCCTCTGCAGGTGCTCAGGCGCGGCTCTGGCTCCCGGCAGGCAGGGTGCCCACCTACATGGCGCGTGCTGGTCAGGGAACCGAGGAAGAGCAGATGCCACGGGAGGGGATACACGGAGGCCAGTCTCTGGGCCCCAGAGGGGGTCTTTCACAGGGACTGAGAATCCATACGGCAGTGGGGGCTAGTGAACGGGCAACATGTGAGCGGCTCTTATACCCAGAATCAGGAAAAATCATTTTTGTTTTCATTTCAACAAACCATAATTTATATTTTCCATTTCTATGAGCCAGAATGTCTTTGACTAAGATCAAGAAAGTTAATTATAATTAATTAAAAAAAGTTTCAGGAGAAAAGAAAGAAAGAGGCGGTGGCAGGAGACCTCACAGGGCCTGGTGGGGCTGAGTTGGGGCTTTCCGGGGGCGGCCGCAGACAGACGCAGTTCACTGTTTTCAAATCCACGGGGTCCCTGTGAGCTCACCATTATCATTTTAATTTTGCTCTAGGGCACATGTGCTAGCCAGAGAGAGACAGCGGGAAAGCGAGAGATTACCTCTGGGGGGATGGCCACGCTGCCATATCCTTTTCCATTCTCCTCTTGGGATTTTGGGCACGCACATACGTGCCTGGCATGACTTTCAAGCCACCAGGTCTGGGACTCGAACCACTGTTGCACATGTGGGAATGCAGTGGCCCAACCATTATGCCACCTGCTGGTCCTAAATACTCTCCTCTTACCCAGGACGCGATTTCCCATGGATTGGTTGATATGTGCACACCGAGGACAGTGGTAGACATTTGGAGTACGGTTTGTGAGTAAAAGCGTCTCGTCTTGAACACTTTAAAAGCTGATTTGATTTTTCTATGAAGCTGGACGCAGGGGAAGCCTGCCTTCACTCGGGTTATGTGACAGCTCATGTGTAAGCTCTTCAAGGACAGGTTCTGTGCTCGATCTTCTCTGTACCCATCACAGGGCCTTGGACGCGGACGGTGATACCTGAGTGTGCACTCTGAAGTTATAGTATCTGCTGCTTTGGGGGCGGGAGGCGGGAAGCAGAACTCCCCGAGGGGCAGGCTTCTTGTCTGCTGCTGTTTTCCGTGTCCAGCATCACTGACGCGCGGGAGGTGCTCAGTGAAGGTACGGGGTCACTTATTGCAAATGAAGGGAAAAGTGGACGGAGAATCTCTTTCAAGGTATTTGATCAAGAAAGGAAGAGGGGAGGCTACTATCAGGTGTGGTAGTTAAGGCACTGTATTCCCATATGACCAACCACAGTTCAAGTCCTAGACCCGGAGGCTTAAAAATCACACCTGATGGAACCTGCAGGTGGCGTGGTGTTTGGGGCACTGGATTCCCACAGGCCGACTGTAGTTTGAGTCCTGGACCTGGTGACTTGATTTCTCACTTCTCTAGCTACCGCATGCCCTATGACAAAATAAATAAATAAATAAATAAATAAAATTAAATAACTAAGTCTTTAAAAAAGAAAATCACACTGAATGTGTATACGTGTATATGCAAAATCCTGAGAAGGGATTGTGGTGTGGCCATCCCATTTAGGGGGTGATTTTTCATTTTTCCTCTCTTTTTCTCTCTCTCTCTGGCGAGTGCATGTGCTCCATGACAAACATCTAAAACAAACAAACAAACAAAAAAACCACAAAAAACAAAAAAAGGAAGAGGAGAGGGATTGTTTTCAAGGGATTCGAGATCAAGGGTAAGGTTTTTTTTTAATTAATTTATTTATTTGCATTCATTCACTGTACATCATTACAGCATAAATGAGATTTTCCATCCAGAGTATACTTGTTTTTTTTTTTTGTTTGTTTGTTTGTTTTTTTAATAATTATTTTACTTCACTTTATTTATTTAAATTTGACCAGAAAGGGACAGAGAGGAAAAGTGAGAAAGCAAGTCACCAAGCCTGGGACTCAAACTGCAATTGGTCGTGGGGAGGCCAGTGCCCCCAAGGGTAAGTTTTTATAGGATAGGACAGATTTGATCAGATGGAGCACAGTTCATGCCAGGAGACCAAAGACGGAGAAAGGAAGCAGAGACGGTGAGCTCGGGGAGGGAATTCTTCTTCCTTGGAGATGGGAAAGGAGGAGGGCAAAGTCACCTGGGGGAGGATTTCTCGCTTTCTGTCTCTCTGTCTCTCAGTCTCTGTCTTTCTGGTGAGTGCACGCACCCTATAGCAAAAACCTCTCCAGAAAAGCAAAACAAAACCATAGAAGGGACCAGCAGGCGGCCTGACGGCTGAGGCGTCGGGTCCCACATGGCCGACGGCGCAGTTTGAGTTTTGGGCCTGGCGGTCTGAAACACACACCAGGTGCGTGTGCATATGTGCCCAACAACCCGAGAGGAACGTGGAAGAGAAGGGGCTGCAGCGGGCTCGTCCCCCCTGGGCGAGGGGTGTCTTCTCACTTTCTCGATCTCGCTCCAGCGAACGCATATGCTCTATTGAATTTTAAAAATGTAGAAGAGAATCCTAAGGGTCAGGTATGAACTTCGGAGATGCAGCTTTAGAGACATTAGTGAGTCTCTGTCAATTTCACTGAATAAGACTGAATCTGAGCAGAAACCAGTATGAAAGGAACACTAGAAAAGTCAAATCAAGAGGCCAGCACCTGGTGTGGTGGTTAACGTGGTGGATTCCACATAGGTGACTCCGTGGTTCAAGTCCCAGACCTGGTGGCTTCAAAAACACGCTGGGTGTGCACGTGTGCGTGCGTGCCCAAAATGCCAGGAGGAGAATGGAGGAGGGACTGCGGTAGGGCCATGCTCCCTAAGGGGGCGATTTTTCACTTTCCCTCTCTCTGACGCTGATGAGTGCACATGGCCTAAGCAAAAAATCATAAAAAAGAAAAAGTAACATCAAGAATACTATATTTGGCGGTGCCGCTAAGTCTTTCAAAGATTTTATTTATACCCCAGCTCCTTCCAAGGAGGTTTCCATGATGGGAACGAGAACGTATACTGGATGATAAATCGATACGATACAGATAGAGCAGAATCACAAAGCGTGTTCGGGAAGGGAGATGACTGCACCAAGAACCAGAAGGCAAGGACTATAATTAAACAGATTTGGCTGATTTAGAGATTTAGAGTCAGACCTTTTTATCTATTCCCATCCCCTCCTCCACCCTCACGCCCCCACCAGTTCACAAATGGGGATTACACAAGGCTGTCTCCGGCCCACTACACAGCCACTGCGGAAGGACTTGGCCATCCACACGGAAGCCAGCAGCTTCTGAAGAATCCACGCGCTCTGGTCACTACCCAGGGCTACCTTAGGGGCAGAGGAGTGCATGGGGAAGTGTCCCCGACTCTGAGCCACCTACAGAGGCCACAATAGCACAGGAACACACGCTCAGTGTTAAGTGGACACTCATTACGGACCTCAGGAATTCAGCTTCAAGGGCTGCCACCAAGAAGGCTTCTGCAGGAGCAGGGGTGCAGGGAGGGTCTTGAAGGGTTTAGGCTTGTAGGCTTTGATAAGGGGACTGGCGGTGGGAGATGGCGGTAGCAGCGTGGGGATTTGCACCACGGACAGCCGCGAGACAAGCCCCGCTGAGGGTGTATGAATGAGGGATGGTGGGGAGGCAGGGGTGGTAGGTGACTTGCT